GGATCGTGAACCTACTTTGTCGATAGCGATGTTCTGTTTAAGTCAGGGCATAAAAGTTTGTCGACACGCACGGGATCGTATGGTCCGTACGAACTGTGAAATGGCTTCACGGACCGTACGAACCGTACGGTTCGTGAAGATGATTTACGGATCGTGAACCTACTTTGTCGATGGCGATGTTGTGTTTAAGTCAGGGCATAAAAGTTTGTCGATCCGTACGGATCGTACGGTCCGTACGGACTGTTAAATGGCTTTACGGACCGTACGATCCGTACGGTTCGTGAAGATGAGTTTGCGGATCGTGAACCTACTTTGTCGATAGCGATGTTGTGTTGAATTGAGGGCATAAAAGTTTGTCGATCCGTACGGATCGTACGGTCCGTACGAACTGTGAAATGGCTTTACGGACCGTACGAACCGTACGGTTCGTGAAGATGAGTTTACGAATGGTGAACCTACTTTGTGGATAGCGATGTTGTGTTTAAGTCAGAGCATAAAAGTTTGTCGATCCGTACGGATGGTACGGTCCGTACGAACTGTGAAATGGCTTTACGGACCGTACGAACCGTACGGTTCGTGAACATGATTTACGGATCGTGAACCTACTTTGTCGATGGCGATGTTGTTTTTAAGTCAGGGCATAAAAGTTTGTCGATCCGTACGGATCGTACGGTCCGTACGAATTGTAAAATGGCTTTACGAACCGTACGATCCGTACGGTTCGTGAAGATGATTTACGGATCGTGAACCTACTTTGTCGATAGCGATGTTGTGTTGAAGTGAGGGCAAAAAAGTTTGTCGATCCGTACGGATGGTACGGTACGTACGAACTGTTAAATGGCTTTACGGACCGTCCGATCCGTACGGTTCGTGAACATGATTTACGGATCGTGAACCTACTTTGTCGATAGCGATGTTGTGTTGAAGTGAGGGCATAAAAGTTTGTCGATCCGTACGGATCGTACGGTCCGTACGAACTGTGAAATGGCTTTACGGACCGTACGAACCGTACGGTTCGTGAACATGGGTTTACGGATCGTGAACCTACTTTGTCGATAGCGATGTTGTGTTGAAGTGAGGGCATAAAAGTTTGTCGATCCGTACGGATCGTACGGTCCGTACGAACTGTGAAATGGCTTTACGGACCGTACGAACCGTACGGTTCGTGAAAATGAGTTTACGAATGGTGAACCTACTTTGTCGATAGCGATGTTGTGTTGAAGTCAGGGCATAAAAGTTTGTCGATCCGTACGGATGGTACGGTCCGTACGAACTGTGAAATGGCTTTACGGACCGTACGAACCGTACGGTTCGTGAACATGGGTTTACGGATCGTGAACCTATTTTGTTGATAGCGATGTTGTGTTTAAGTCAGGGCATAAAAGTTTGTCGATCCGTACGGATCGTACGGTCCGTACGAACTGTAAAATGGCTAACGGACCGTACGAACCGTACGGTTCGTGAAGATGAGTTTACGGATCGTGAACCTACTTTGTCGATAGCGATGTTGTGTTTAAGTCAGGGCATAAAAGTTTGTCGATCCGTACGGATCGTACGGTCCGTACGAACTGTAAAATGGCTTTACGGACCATACGAACCGTACGGTTCGTGAAAATGATTTACGGATCGTGAACCTAGTTTGTCAATCCGTAAAAAGCGTCAATGGGTGATGTTGTGTTCAAGTCAGGGCAGAAAAGTTTGTCGATCCGTACGGATCGTACGGTCCGTACGAACTGTGAAATGGCTTGACGAATCGTACTTTTCGTGCCCAGTCTTTAACTCGGTCAAAGCAATAATTAACAGAAAGTATTGACCGAATCTTCCCACAACAGACGTCAACACGTCATCACACCGATAAACCATGGATAACGCCTGCAATAAAACAGCTTATCAAATATCGACAAAAGGCGTTTCATGTTCATAATACAATCTTGTGGAAATCGTTGAAATATAAGGTTCAACATGAAATCAATGCGAGGAAAATATCGTACTATAAAACAAAGGTGCAACATTTAAAGAAGGATGACTGCCATATGTGATGGAAAATCGTAAATAAAATGGCAGGAAAATCTGGAAAGAACTCCTTCTCGCTTGAACA